AGGACTCCTTGAGCCTTTGATGCAGCTCCCTCTGACTAGAAGGGTCAAGAGTCCTTTAACTGGTGCTTGGGAGGGATCTGCCCTGAGAGCAGCCAACAGTGCCATCGGGTTGTGCAGCTGGGTGAGAAGAAGGAGTGAAATAAGGGAGCCTCCATTCAAACTGTGGGGCTGCAGCAGTCTTAGACATGCTGGAAACAGGGCAATTTCCCCAGAAGGTGTAGAAACAGCTGTCCCTGCTAGGGCAGAGGCTTCCACAAGGAGTGGCTGCAGCTCTCCAAGTCCCACACTTCAGTGGGTGTCACTGAGGCCTGAGGCCGAGGGCGATGTCGCTCAGCCCTGCAGGCCATCTTGGAGGAACTGTGCTGGGAAGTGGAGTACGTTCCAGAGGACACATGCAAACTGTGCAGCATCAGAGAAAGTGGAAGGGAAAGAGATAGGGTCTTGTCTGAGACACAACAGCGCAAAGGCCCCCAGTCCCCACCTGCAGCAGAGAAGCAGGCAGTGTCTATGCCCTCTATCAAAGTAAAAAATACCACTGGAGAATTGGAAGGATGGAAGTTGATGGCTTCTTGTATAAAGAGGAAGCTCCTGCCTCATCTAAGAACAAGTTGACTGCCTTCATAATTGAAGAGGAGCCAGATATGTCCTCTAGAAAATGACGTGCTTCACTTGAGTGTAAACCATGCAGGTCTGCCAGTAAGAAAAGGTGAGACCCTGCAGTGTGTGACTCCCTGCTGCAAGGGACAAAGGACCCGCCTGTAGGCCTGACCAGCCATTCAGAGATATTTGCTGCCTGCGAGGCGCCAGGGTCCAGGATGATATCCAGAGTCTGCCAAAGCCTGTGCAGCCCTCTGACTTCTATGCCTTGTTGTTATTCCTTTGGAGGACAAAAGATACTGCTAGGGGAAGCCAGTATGTGCTGAGGGCCATAGAGCTGGAAAGTAGCTTTGCAGAGAATGGCTTGGGAGTCTTGGTGGACATCATGAACCAACAATGTGCCCGTGCTGCAAAGAAGGTAAATGGTGTCTTTGGCTACATCAGACAAAGAATTGCCAGCAGGTCAAAGGAGGTCATAATTTATTCAGTGCTGCTGAAGCCACCACAGGAGTGATTTCTCAATATAAGAGACACATGATATACTGAAGAGGTCCAATGAAGGGCCAGAAGAATAATTAAGGGACTGTAGCATTGAAGATGTGAGGAAAGACTGAGTGAACTGGGACTGTTTACCTTGGAAAACAGGCTCAGGGGAGCTCTTACCCATTTGCATAAATACCTGAAGGGAGGATCCAAAAAGAGGACGTGGTTTAATGGCCAACATGGTGGTGGTGCTAAGTTGATGGTCGGACTCAATGATTGTAAAGGTCTTTTCCAACCTTAACAATTCTATGATTCTTTTCAGTGGTGCCCAATGACATCACTGAAAGTGGTGCACACAAGAAGTGATGCACACAAACCAAAACACAGGAGGTTCCCTCTGAACATCAGGAAACCTTTTTTACTGTGAGATGACTAGGCACTGTCACAGGTTGCCCAGAGAGACTGGAGTGTCCCCATGCTCAGTGAAATGCAAAAGCCAGCAGAAACAGTCCTGGAAAACCAGTTGCAGGTGGAGAGTGGACTTAGATGACCTCCTGAAGTTCCTTCAGTCTTGATCATACTGTGATTCTGTGGATAAAAAGGACACCTGAACTGACAGAAGCCTCTGCTGAAGTTGTCACTTCTCTCATACATTTTTGTTCATCACTGGAGCCTGCCTGGCACAGAAGTGGAAATGAACTATGCACAGTTGTACAGGTTCCTTTGCAACTCACCCATGATGTGTTTGCCAAGTGCAGGAGTAATAGATAGCGTTTGAAGTCTGTGGAGTTCTGCAGGATCACTAGCCCATCCTGTTCAGTCCTTACAAAACCAGAGACTACCAAAATAATTGAAACCTACTCTGTATTACCAGTCTTGCACAAAAGTGTAGTTTTTGCAGTTATCCCAGAGCTTTCTGAGAGCTACTGCTCTCACATTTCCCTTGGCAAGAAGAAATAGAAGAACATCTGATGTTCTTAGCTTTTCAGTTGGACTTGTGCTAATGAAATAAATCACTTCCCATGAGGAAATTTAAAATTATAGAAAAATATCCAGCATTGTTAAAAGCAAAATCATGACTTTTGGTTTAGTTTCAGATTATTCAGTGGCTATGTTTGCTAGTTATAGAATATTCACAGCTGAAACTCCTTTTGTACCCCTTGTTTTATTGGTAACAACTCTGCCTTCCACAGTTTTCTCTTTGCTCTGTGCTGGTAAGAATCTCTAGAAAAGTGAAACTTAAAAGTGTCTTTTAATCAATGTTGACCCAGGTCCACTGATATGAAAGATTATTGACTTTTTTATAAAAGAGTTTTCAGTGAAGGAAACTTAAATTCACTTCTTGAAAAAAGTTTTGCCACTGGAGACTTGCTAATGTGTTGTATTCTCATGGAAAATTGAATCCAAACTGTGCTAGAGAGACATTTTATGAATTTTGTGGTAGATTCATTTAAATATAAGTTTTCTATTGGTTTGAGATGAAAGCAGTTTTACTGAAAACTGTTTGTTTATTTCATAAAGCACCTATCTGACTCCAAACACTATGCTTTGAAGAAAGAGGTTGTTTTTATTTGTTTATAGATCAACAAAATTTGAGAAAGCAATTTTGTGAATCATGCTGCATTTTATTGCTGCACTTGGGGATAAGAGCTTTCTCTTGTGTGGAACAGAACACATATTTTTTTATAGAATGAAGCTGAGTTTCTGAACAGCACTGAAACGCAGTCAGAAGTTGCAGAATTCCAGGCTTAATGTTAATTTTTTGAAAATTTGCCTCAATTTTCAGGAATATTTGAAAAGAAAATGAGAAATGTATCTTAATTTTTAAAAAATCATTCATCAGTTATTTTGTTAGAGATTTACCACTGATTTTATCCAGGCAAACTAAATACAGTTCTGGCTGCAGAGAAACTGCTCTTCCTTCCACCATTAATTTCCCAACTCCTCCCACAATATATGAAGAAAGGAGGGTTGGTTCATCACCCCCATCAACTTGCAGCAGGATACCATCATTGCAGCAGAAAAATACACATAAATTTGTAAATTATTTTGGCTAGCCCAAGCTCTTACTAGGTGATCAGTTTTTGCCTCAGTCTGATATACAGTGGGCCCAACAGATGTCTTACATAACATGGGTACAAACTCTTTCCTGACACATGAGCAAGACACCACGCTATTTTTTTTAGATCATCAACAAGGTTGGTGGAAAGATTACTTCCTCCCCAGTTGTGTAGAGAGAGCCACATCCTGCCTCAGAATTGCTCTTTTTTATGATTTTATATTTGTTAGAGAGTAAATGACCCCAATGTAGTGCCATAGCAAAGATGTGATGTTGCTTTACTACAGAGTTTTTGGGCCAGCAGAGCTGATTCATACTTGTTTTCCTTATTATCATTTTGGATAGCTCTGAAAGAAAGCAATTAGTTTGTGTGACCCATTGATTCCCTGAGGCCATACATTATTTCCACGTGTCCTAAATAGGGCGTAAGTTTCTTTGGAATGAAGACATGAAAAGGATGGGGAAAGAGCACAGTCTCTAATAGAGCTGATGTGTTTGCTTATTGCTTTTCTTTGTGTGTTGTCATGGAGAATAGTCTGAGAGAGAGAGGCGCAGTGGTAGAATAATAAAAAAAACAATAAGGGAAAAAGGAAAAAAGAAAACTCAGTGTTTAGGCAGGAGCCGGGGATTATTCATGCCTGGTAAAGCCTCCCATAAGAGTGTTGCTCAGGTCATGTCAAGCAGGCACCAGATAAGCACAGGAGTGCGAGGCACGGCTCTGTGCTCTGCGCTACACGCTGCAGAGATCCCCGCTTCAGAAAGTTGTAGCTCGTGGAAATACTGGTGACAGTGGGCTCTCCTATCAACCTGCAGATGGTCTAGCTTTACTCACCTTTAATGTGCCAATGAGAACAGCCATCAAATTTTTCAAGGGAGATATGAAATGGGGTTTTGTTTTCCTGAGAAGCTGTCTGGCGAGGCGAAGGGCTACATTAGGGATGTTCATAGCGTAGCTCTGCAGCGGATCAGGTAGCTGGCGGCTTTGCATAGCAACATTGTGGCCAGCATATTAAATCATACCTCTCTTTATGCTGCATTTGTCATCTGGGGGCTTCAAACCCTTCCTAAAAATAGAAAAAAGTGAGTGCTTTAGTTCCCACACTAGAGAAGGAAAGGTTGAAGCAAAGAGAAGTCAAGTACTTTGTCTGCAATCACACAACCAGCCGGTCTGTCTGGGGAGAATTTACTCTAAAAGCCATAGCTTCCATTTTCAATTGCCTCCTTTTTTTGTTCTGTGGTCTTCTCTTTTAGTTTCATTTTCTATATGTTTATGCAGGATTAAATATGAAGACTGCAAATGCGTAAAAAAATTCAATTGTGTTATTTTGCGGTGACTAAAATTTCCATATATTTTGTGTGATTGCTTTTCCTTAGGAAATATTATGAAACTATTTAATAGGGAAAAAATATATGTTCTGCATTAAATAAAAAAAGGCAAAAGTGAAGATAAGATTTTTTTTCTTTTTCAGGATTTCTTAGAATGAGCTAAATGACTATCAGTCATCTGGCATGTATTTTAATCTCCCTATGTTTGTAAATCCTCCTTATGGAGCCTAATGAAGCATTAAAATGCTGGAGTTTTAACTTCTATTTTTTAACTACAAACCACAGAATACAATTTGGGCAAACACAGCAAAGTAGAAGCTGTCTGTGGATGTGAAACAGGAAGCAGGAGTAGATAGACACGTGTAATAGGGTTGTGTTTGCTCTTGCTCAACTAGATATACATCAATTTTAATTAACACGTTTTTTGCTTCAGCTGCTAACGTCCCTTCAGCAGCGAGTGGGTTATGTGTTTCCATCCTGCATATACCACCAGCATCACCACCACGTCCTTCTCTAGCTTCCCCCTCCCCTTTCTACACAAATGTTGCAACACAATCTGAAATTTCCTCTTTTCTTTCCTTCCTGCATTTCTTACAGGTTCCTTTGCGTCAGAAGGCAAAAAAGAAAAGTCAAGGTAATGAGAGATTGTTTTTTCTTTTCTCTCCTGGATTCCTCTTTTGTTATTTTCTTAGTATGTCTTATTCTTGGGAGGGTGAGGATTTTGTACTGCTACTCATTTGGTGAAAAGCTGCTTTTTAACTCCACTGATTCTTACACCGATTCTGAGAAACATGACAACGGGCTGTTCCTTTGGACTAAATCCTTGTGGTATGTTAATTGAATCAAAGCTGGAAATCAGCGAGGTAGAATCAGCTGCCGGCACAGACATACACACTAGTGGTTTTCATGTATTTGGCATAATAGTTTTCTCTAGCTGACTTAAATAGATGTATCATTTTCAGTGCAGCTGTGTGAGGGAAAATATATGCATGCTTCTCTTAAAAGGATCAAAGGCTGTATTTTTAATTTACAAAAACTCATGTACGGTTATCTTAGCATTAATTAGTATCAGTATTATCTATAGCTTACTGTTTAATTTCTGAACATCAGCAAGCCTTTCAAATGAATGTGTGTTACTGTCACAGCCATTATAAAACTGAATTACTTCTAAGTATATTTTAAGACATGCTTGGATGACTTGCTGAGGTTCCTAAGTGAGGATGATATCCTTAATTGGCAGCAACATCTTTCCTGGTAATGCAGTTTTAAGCAAGCACAACACTGTATTTTTAATGGCACAGGGTTCTTTATAATGAGCCGACGGAGGATATCGTGCAAAGAGCTGGGGCAAGCCGATTGCCAAGGATGGCTCTACAAAAAGAAGGAAAAAGGAGCTTTCATTGGCAACAAATGGAAAAAGTTCTGGTGCGTGCTAAAGGAGTCATCGCTGTATTGGTACAGCAGTCAGCTGGTGAGTACAGTGTGCAGGCAGCTCCGGGTGCCAGACAAACAGCATCTGCTGGCACGGACAGAGGGGAACCTGGGGTCACAATTTAGGTGCACCCTGGAGGAGTACAAATAACTGGGTTCATTTCTCAGCCCTGACACTTCCTGTGATCTGAGAAGTGTCTATATGAATTTGAAACATGCAGAAAACTATGTGGTTTCTAGTTCAGCAGGTACTTGTGAAATGTTAACTTGCTGTCTGTTTCACCATGTTAAGAGCTCTTCTTTAAGGGCTCTGGTGGCATTTGAACTTGAGAAATGTTTTCCTGGGTACAGTCAATTTGCAAACATTTGTCAAAACTCAAAACAGGAATGCTTTTTCACTTCCTATTAATTTAATTTTCAGAAATGTCTCTCCTATCTCTCTTTCCATCCCCTTCCACACTGAGATTATTCTGTTTGTCTTCTTCTGTTTGTCTTCTTAGTTTATTTTTCTTTTTTCTTCTATTTTTTTCCTATTTAAATTTATTTGTCCTCTTTTTTTTCTTTCCCTTTTTTTCCCTTTTCAAATAGTAGAGGGCAGTTGGCTTTACTCTGGGCTTGTTTGATTGGGCAGAGAGGATGTTTTGCCCATCCTAGGAAGATTCAGATATAGTTATTCCCTTCACTTTGCTGTCTGGCACTGCTACCTTTAAAAAACTCTTATCACATTCAAATGATGGAGTGACAGATCTAATAATTAGGGTGTGAAGAGCATTAGGGTATGCCAGCAAAAACATGGTTTGAAATTCAGCAGCTTCAGTGTTGAATTGTGGATGGGCATGAGGTGCCTTAAATGCAACACAGCTGCTCTGGAAATCAGCATGTCACAGGCACAGCAAAGAATGAAAGGTTGAAGGAACCCTTATTAATTATTAGAGGATTTTAAAAAATATCAAAGGCAATCTGGATGATTTTCACTTGTTTATTTACACTGCAGCAATCCCCATCAAAATTTTTTCTAGCTGTTTCAGGAAAAAAATTACAATAGTTTAAGCCATTTAAAAAACTCCTCATACGCTAAACAAAGCTTTACTCGTGTAGACTAATTCACGTTCTCCCTTCAGTTGTGAATATAGTACTAGTATTTTTTGTGGGGTATTTTTTTGCTTGTGTGTGTGTGTGAGATATTTTTTCTGTTTGCTTTTTTAAAATCCAAATAAAAACTTTGACTGGTACTTCAAGGTGATATTAACTATTTCTTGTTGAGGTAAAGGAAAGCAACTCTGCTAGTCTTGGGCTGTTGTTTTTTTTATGATGTTGTGGTAGTCTAATATGGATTGCTTTCAAGACTATGTCAAATACATGCATAATAGAAAGAAAACAAATAGAAATATTGTGGAAAAAAGTTTTGAAAAGGCACTTTTCCCCTTATGCTTACAATATCTCTACTTGAAAGACATGGGGAGGCAGTAATACCAATAAGCAGAATTAATACCTTGCAAAACCTTATTGGGTTTAATAAATCTGTTTGCAGTTGTACTTCTGGCCAAGCTTTAAGAAATGTGAGCTGTCTGGCTGACATGACTTTTTAAACACAGAAAATATCAGAGAGGAATAATCCTAAGGAGTAATCAAAATGAGAGGAAATAAAAAATGCAAGACTAGGAAAAATTTGCCTTTGGGAAGAGAAGAGTGATGGGGGAGAGGTGCAAATTCCTCCATTTCCTTCAGTTGTTCTGGCCTGCTTAAATTCCACTCCTGAGATCCAGAAAAACCATGATCATGCTGGTTCCTGTGCTCCTAGACGGCACTTACCCCTTTAGTCCATGCCTACTTCCTGACTGTCACTGACTGCCTCCAAAAGAACAAGGCTGAAAATAAGAGTCAGCCTCATTCCAGTCTATTTCATTTCCTCTGAAGAGCTAATGTGGCTTCAAAATACTGTTGTCTTGTGTCAGCCCTGAATTCTCACCTATCACAGTTGTGCTTTAAGCATGCTAGCCAGTAGCACCTCTTTGCTTGCAACTTCTGCCAACTCTCACACACTATTTTATGGTAAAAACTCAAAGTTTCTTTGGGCAGCTTAAAGTGCAATCTCTATGTAACTATAGATTCAATCAGTGTTTGCAGAATGTCAGTAACTGTGGGGTTTGGAAAGAAGGGAAGGTGATCTTTGCTAAGGCCTGCTCTCTTAAATTCTTGAGACCAGAGGCATGCTCAGAGTTGTATGTGGGATCAATTAGAGCCAGATATTCTCACTTCTAGATTGTTGAAAGAGAAATAGCAGTGACACATGCTCTTGCTTGCTTGACAAGTCCCTGGCATTAGGACTGCCTGCACTTCCACTGTCTTCAGTGAAGTCAATCCTTGGTCCCAAGGGGCTGTACAAGGTGACAGTCTCAAGTTCTGTTGAAACAGGAGTCCTGCTTCTCACGTGCCTGAGACTTCCTGAGATGGGCCCTTTTACAGGGGCTGATGTCAAAGGTGGTGATGACAGACTGGGGCTGATGTCAAAGGGACTGGGGCACACTGGTTGCCTGTAGCTCTGCTTGACCTGCTTGGCTCTGGTGAGAAATGAGCTTGGTTTGTTTTTGGCTGTGTGAAAAGCAGACACTGGCAACTGTAGCATAGCAACAGGGTGCTGGACCTTTTTTCTAATGGAGATGGAGAAAATAGAGAGTGGGTGGAATTTGTATGGGAATGTGCATTATCCTGGCTTTGAGTAGATAACCTCATCTGCATAACATCTTCTTGGTCAAGTTTGTCATCATGTGCCTCTGAAGCTCTGGATATATTGTCGCTCTAGCTTAATTTTACTCCAAGCTACTCTGATTCTGGGTCTCTCATGAGAGGCAGATTTGGATACATTACATAGGACACTTGTGAGAATTTTCAGCTAATATTTCCTTCAATTTAATGTAAAATATTTTGTGAATGCCACAGCTCAAAAGAGTAAAAAGTAAATGGGTGACCAATAGCAGATCAGACACCCTAAGAGTCAAGCTTCTCCTTCACTGAAAGAAAGCCAGAGAACACAAGCAAATCTGAATAAATTTTCGATGAGCTAGCTGAGGTCAGGGCCCAGTGGTCTCAGCAAGCTTGGGTAGGCTGCCCTGGAACCTCTTCCCACACAACCTTCTTCTTTCTATAAAACATGAGACAAGTAAACTTCTCTTTGCAGCACGGAAGCACTCCCAGTCTGGGCAGGGGAAGCTGCTTGGACTAGGAGGAAGCACGGAAGGGCTGGTTTTGCAATGAAAACACAGGACATGTCAGAAAATATATCTGGGCAGTCAGAATTTCTGTATGCATTCAAGAACATCAAACTCCTTGGACAACTGCTCTTCATTAGTGTTTTGGTTTGGTTTTTTTTTTGTTTTTTTTTTTTTAGTACTGCTCTCTGTAGGCAGTTGCCTTGAAGACAAGTGTTTAAATAGCACAGTTTGTGACCCTGCCTGACCCTTGAGCTGTTTCAGTTCTCATACTGAAACTCCAGAGGGAATTAGTGCTCCTACATAGGAAGAGGGGTGGTGGGGGAGGATTGTCATGTGGAATCCCAGGCTCCTGGCTCTCTGGGCTTGTTTCGACTGTGTTGGATAGTGTTGGCTGGAATAGGACAAAGGGCTAAATGCCTCTGTCTGGTAGGTCTTTAGGGTAGCTTGACTGGTTTTCCAAATAGAGTTGAAATAAATTTTTGCGGTATGTCTTAATGGTGGTTGTCATGGGGATACAGCTGAAAAGAAATGTAAATATAAAATTAAAGAGATGCAGGCTGTGATCTGCTGTTACTATTTATCTTTGAACTTTTTTTTTTCCTCATTCACTACATTGGAATTGGTCCTCACTCCAACAGCTTTGCTGGAAGCTGTATAATTACAGTCTTTTAAAAGAAAAATATTTTACCTTTGAGTTGTAATAGCTGCTTATGTGGATGAGAAAAAGTCATTGATGTCAGCTGATTGCGCTGAGAGGCTTGGGGACCTATGGCCTAATATCTTGCCCAAATTATTCACAGTTCTATAGGATGCATCATTGGTGTACTTGGCAGAGAGAAAAAAAGACTAAAATGCTGAACTGTTCCTCCAACATCCAAAGCATCTTCTGGGGGCAGTGCTGAAACACTGATGAAGCCATGAGGACTACCCTGATTTGCAGATTGGAACTCTTCCACAATAACAAGATATTTCATTTTCTAGCACTATGTTTTAAAATCTTGCTGCAACATTGCATTCACTTTAAATTACTTACTAAATCTCCTAAAGTCACAACATTTAGATAACATATTGAGGCAAGCTCAAAAGGACATTAGTCTCTTTCATGCATTGTGTTTCATAAATAATTTCTTTTCTTTTCTGAGTGCAAGGCTTTTCCTGTGGAAAAAATGGCTCCTTTCTTTTTTGCCACAAGAATTTTCACACTTGTTATTAATGAAATAATTTTTCTACAACTTGGAATTGCAAAAACACAGATTTATGTTAGTCTAACCTCCATAAAACCCAAAAGAGATAACAGTTTATTCATTTAAACATCCTGATTAAGTAGAAAATAGGTCAAGGTTCTTTGTATCTGAGTTTTTAGGGCTATTTTACAGCTTCACATCAAAATCTGAAGGAATCTTGAATGAAACGTGTGAGTTAAATAATAGCATGCTAAAGTCGTGTTAGGGATATCATTTTGGAAGAAAGAAAGAAAGCACTTAGGATTTCTATATGCTTTAAATGTTTTTAAATGATATTTTTATCCTAAGAATGACTGAAAAGATGACTTCCACATGTTCTGTTCCTAGGATTTATTTGGAATTCTATTTGCTGACTGAAATAACATCCTTAAGATTTTTTGTGACTTCTTTTTCTTTTTTCCTTCCTTTTTTTCCTGATAATTATGAAGCTACATACCCATCAAACCCCTCTTTTCTGTTACATAGATGGCATGTTTTAGATGTGTACAAATAGTGTATTTCACTAATACATAAAATGAAACATGAATTTTTCTTTAAATGAACAAATATGAAATCACAGACAGAATTAGTATAAATTCTGAATGTATTTAGAGAGAATGTGTATGTGAGAACATAATCTTTTACCAACTGGAACAGGCCAAATACTGCAAAAGAAATAGGGGGTTTCTCTGCTGTACAATTGTTAAAATTAAGGTACTGAAATCAAGGCCTACAGACCTATAGTCATTAGTCATTTAGAGGGAGCTCCCCTAATTTAGATAGAGGAATCTATTTTAATCTAATCTAAATTACTGATGGATTAAGTCAGTGATTCAGGTCCAATTCCATTTCAGCATGGGTGGGAGTGTTCCCGGTGAGTGTTTCCACACTGGCTTATGGGGTGCTGGTAATTAACTAGTCCAATACAAAATCCAAACACTCAAATGCTTTTGTACATTGACAGTAGAAACAGTGATTTATCCAATGGCTTATCATGGACCTAATCCCCTCAGGAATGCCTTTGCAGCACTCTAAACTGTTTATAGGATACAGTCTAGACCAATGGTCACTGCACTGATAGATGGAATTGGTTGAGCTGTAACTGCACACAGAACATGGAAGAAAGGCCAAACCTGTCCCAGACCCGAGTCAGCCACTCACTCACCTGATGGTTTACCCAGATCAGGCCATGGATTTATTGCTGCATGGGTACCTCGGTATAATCCTTCACCCAGGGTCTCGTGGCTAACTTTTTCTTAAACTGGGAGTATGGATTCCTACTACAGAGAGGCAACTGGCATTGTATGCATTTCTCATCCAGCAGTGTGTTCAATAGTGATTGTTGTACCTCGTGGACAGCTTTTTTGAGTTTGGTTCACAGTGTTCTCAGATTGGTCTTGGGAACTAAACAGGAATTTTGGTGTTCCAGATCTAGTAAGTGATCATCTTTTTGGAAAAAAATGCTGGATAATACAATCTCTACTTTTAGTACAGTACAGCCCAGGAATAGTGCTCCTTCATTACTCACCAGTGTTTATTTGCTCATCCCGATATACTTAATATATCATGGATCTGGGGTGGTAATACTAGGTTTAGTTAGTTGTCATTTTATCTCAATGACTTTAAGCACATGAAATTCCAACCTGTGTAATGGAAACAAAAGCTCCCCAAGCTAGTCACTAAACAAGTTTTACAGATACAAATACAATCAGAAAGTGTTAAAAGCCCAAGTGGCAAATAAGCACTTTTTCATACAAATATTAAAAAATGAAACTTTTTCAGCCCAGATGTAAAAGAATAATTTTTTTCTCCTTTACTGAAAGAAAATAAGAAAACCCCCTTCCACTGGTGCCGTGTCTGCGTCTTGGAGCAGCAAAACCATTTATTAGTGATGATGTGAAATATAAACTTCTCACATGAATGTTTAATACATGTAAATGACAGGAATGATGTTTAGTCCATGATTTATTGTATGCCAAAGAGCAGATATGCAGATGTGCGGGGAAGCCACCCACTGAAGTAACCATTCTGTGTCAATATTTCAGTTCTCGGAGATTCATACTTCCAAGAATTGAAGCTCAAAGACTTGTCTTGATGAACATCTTTTTATAGTCTGATCATATTCATGCATAATGAGACTTGAGATACTGTCACTCATCTTCATTTATCCTCTGCCTTTGTAATTGTTGTGTGTATTTTATCTGCTTTAACTCAGTGTGCATTTTCAGAATTTTAATGTGTCTACTAGCAATGGCTGGGAGCAGCAAAAATGTAATTCAGGAATGAGCACTCTGTGTTTTGGAAAGTAGGTTTTTTCCTGACATTTTGTCCTACAGACTTTTGTCGACATTATATATTCACCTCATCTTAGAGGGACTCCTAACCTCATTGCAGATGACCAGGTGGATGTAGATGGATGTAGTAAGGAAGATGTTTCTGCCGAAGATGTTTCTGCCGCAGATGTTTCAGTTTCAGGCAGCACAAACAGGAGTTTGAGGCTTGTCACTTCAGTTTCTCAGCTCTGACTCAGAGTCCTGCTGACTGAGAGCAGAGACGTCAATGCTCAGTAAAGCTCCTGGCATGCAGAAAGGGCTGACTGGGTATAAACAGGGTGCTGAAAATGTAAATGTAAATATCTGCCTGGATATTGCTACCTCTTGCACCATGCCTGCAAATTTCTCGGGTTAGTGATAGCTGGGTGACCAAAGCCCTCTGAGGCAGGTCTGCAGTATTTAACCACAGAACTCAGCTGTGTGTGATGGGAGCCGCCTGCATTGCCTCTGCCTTGCTTGTGTACAGGTGACCCTGCAAAATGGTCCATGCTGCAATTACACAGGGGACACCCTCCTCCATTTCTACTTAGAATCATACTGGGGCACTTCTGAACTGTATTTTTCAGCTCTACATCAGTCATACTTGTGTAAGATACACACATACTGTGTCATGGCACAAACCCACTTTTGAGACTGTAGGTGCCATCTAGACCTGAACAGATGATATAACTCTTGTTCATCCTTACTAGGCAACAAAATCTATGCTTACACTCTGCCACTTGCACCAACAGGAATGCACTTGCACCCCGGATTTGCTGGTATAGAAATATTCCATCAGGCGTTAATCTGTCCCCATGGTGATGAGCATATATTTTCACAGTATAAAAAGCTGTGAAAAACAAGCACTTGCGTGTTAAATATTATTCAGCATTGGAGTCTACTAGTTTACCAGTTGGTTGATGTGGTGATATTCAATTATTTTTTTTCTTTTTTGGAAGGCTGAAAAAGCAGAAGGATTTATAAGACTTCCAGACTTCAGTGTGGATCGAGCAATTGAATGCAAAAAAAAGCAGTAAGTTTATCTCTTGTTCCCAGTTTTGCATGATTTTTACAAGATTGCAAGGAGTGAGCCTCAGTAGTCTTTGACAATGAAGCTGTGAGGAGTTCTTTTGTGTTGTATAAATAATGAGATATTAATTGAGCTACTGAAAGAGAACCATATTGCAAAAACATTTTTTTGAAAAATCTCTGCCAGATGTGCTTTGCTAAAACCACAAATAAAAAAGAACAGATGAGTGTGCCAAATGCTTTCTTTTCCTTTTTTTTTCATTTGCTATTTATGACTAGACTGTAATTCTCAGATCCCCCTCTTAGTTGAGAAGGTCAGCAGCGGTGCAAGTAATGCTGCATACCTCCAAGCCTGGACTATTATTTAGGCTGCTGTGGTGCAACTGAGATTGGGCTGTACTTGAGGCCTTTGATTGTGCAGGGAATAAATACTTTCTTTAGCAGGGTGCACATTCAAAAATATTGTCTCCAAACTCCATATGCAGAACTGACTTCCAGCTGCTTCTGAGTACACTTCAAAGGTTGGGAGGGGTGTTGCTGTTGTTCAAAGTTATAAAGTGCAGCATGGTTTTGTGCCCCTCAAGAAAAAAAACCTTCATTCTTCAGATGGAAATGTTAGAAGAGCCAGTCACTGTTCACCCATTGTGTGCTGCTTGTGATTTTACTATGTCACATGTCCCTTCCCTCAGCCATCAGTTTTCCATGCTTTGGGGTCTTAGCCTGATTGACCACAGCACATGGAAGCTGTTCCATGTCTTGGGTCACTACTGGTGTTTTCTTCCAGCATTTTTCAAGTTCGCTTTGCATCTCAGAGCTGGAGAAAGCAAAATTGCACATAGTATTTGCAGTATGAGAAGGCAGTAAAGTTATGTAATGAAATAATGGAAGACTTTGTTTTATTCTTTATTCCTTCCCTCAGTTCCTGTAGTTTATACTCTCTGAATAGTGTATGGCCTAGGAAATGAACTAAAAATAGACTAGAGTTTTAAAGAAAGAGCTGCATTGATGGACAAGCTAATCTGGATTAATACAGTGGAGTGAATAAATATTTTAAATAATTCATTCAGTTATTATTTTTTCTTTCTTATGGAAACTATTTTTCTTCATATCTCTTATCTTTTTCTTTTCCTAAAGTGCTATTAAGATCAGCCACCCACAGATCAAGACATTTTATTTTGCAGCAGAAAATGTTCTGGAAATGAACACGTAAGTAGGAGCGACTGGTCGTGTTTCATCCTGTCTCATGCCTGAGAGCACCCTTTGAAAGTTCATTCTTTCGCTGTCAAGCAGTCGTTGACAAAGTTATTTGGGGAATTACTGAGTCTAATTTTTTCTGGTCACTAAAGGGAAGAAAACTATTGCTCTTTGTTCACTAATTATGATTGAAATCAGAATCGCTTAATTAGCCCAATTTTGGTGCTAATCTTCCCAGCATTTGCTGGTATAAATCCCTTTCTGTTAGAGTGGCACTAAGATTTGATGGCAAGTACAGCACCTGGGAAGAAGTGAGGGGAGAAAAGAAAGAGAGGGAAAAGTCCCAGAAGTGATCTGGGACTAGAATATAACAGTTTCTGATTTCAGACTATTGTATCAGGTAACTGGGAGGGTTAGAGGGATAGAAAGGTCTGTTTCCTTTATGTAAATTAGTGTTAACTTCAACATCAAACTGTGCTGTAGTTGAATGATTCTCATGGCAGGTCAGAAATTTTCTTTCCACAAATGGTCCAGAAGATTAACAACCAAATAGTTCACAATGGGATAAGTAAAAATGGATATGAATACTGTCATTTTAGAAACCACTGAGCTATCAGAAAGATATTATTTTCTACTAATCCACATTTGGCTGATTTAGATATATCTCATATCTTTGCCCTTTTTACTTCAGATTGCAGTCTTTTCTCTGTGCTGTTGCATTAAATGGCCAAATACTGAATACAAAGAAGTACAATTTAAATGGGAAGAAAGGTCCTGCAATAGTCGGGTCAGGATTTTCATCATGGCTCTACTGGTGACCTTTGTGTGATTTTTCGCAGGGCAATGACTACTCATTCCCTCTATAAATGAGAGACCTCATACATATTTGGCACAATAGAAAAAGAGAGAGGTTGAGAGAATGTGTGTGACCTTCTGAAAGATCTATAGGTACAGAAATGTACAATATTACAGTAGTGTATGTCCCTAGATATGTATTAATAAATCTGTACTCTACAGATGCCTACAAGTAAATATAGATTTAAAGAATCTGTTGCCCTTTGCAAGTTGGAGCAGCATAGAGCATTCTGGTGGGGAGACAACCATGCATTTTGTTGCTCCTGCACTTCCCACCAGAGCTCCTGAATGGAGTGACAAGATCCTGAGGCAGATTGGATGAGGATGACTGAGAATGAGGGACAGCTGGACTGGTATATTTCAGTAGAGAGGGTAACCCTAGTTAAGAGAGAAGAGATGGAAGGATGTCTGGAGAAGGAAAATTAGAGCTAATGGAGGATATTAGTAAGTGCTAACAGCCAGTTTGGAGCCCAGCTGGAAATTCTCATATGAAAAATGCTTAGTCTCCTGTGAGTCAGTGATTGAAATCTAAGCAGGTGTCTCAGCTCTTATGCCCCTGGAATGATTTTGTTCAAATTCCACTTCTTGATTAAATTTCATTTTGGCTTAAACATAGGTAGCCTAGTGTTAGCGCAGCCTGCTCTATGCTGTACTAACCCCCCACTGCTGCAACTGATGATGTTTTCCTTGGCAAAGTACAAAATACATGCATTTAATACATAAAGTACACACATACTCACGCATATGTCGAAACAGACTAAAAGACATCTGTTCTCTTGGCTCCAGTCCTGCAAATGCACGTGTGAATGGTTCCACTGAACTCACTGGAGCATTTGTGTGTGTCGAGTTCCTGGTGTGCAGAAATGCTTGATGGATCATGACCTTTTGTAACTCTTCATGCATATATCGACATATGCATATACCTGTACATATATCTCTATTAAATCAACAGTGGATTTATTAACAAAGTCATTTGTTTCGCTAATTTATCATGTATTTTCGATTGCCATGCACACATGAAAAGTAAAGTCATGCTGACTAGCTGCATGCATTTAGTTGGCCAGTTGTACATAGTGAATTGTCTGCCCTCATCATTAATGAAGTCCTAGAGTTTTTTAGCAAATCTTTTCCTTGTTAAGGTGGATTTTCATTTAAAAAATTTTTTTGTTAGGATTGGTTGTTAAAAATAATCAATGGACCACTCTTATAGAAATGAAACTTTGTTTTTCTGATTTATTTGTGGCTCTATTGCTCATACTGAAGTCTAAAAGCGCAGTTACTTTGGTGCTGATCTTACTAGCAAATTCCCTGTTGTTTTAGTAGAACCAAAATTAAAAAAAAGGGTTTTTTCCAGCAATGAATTCCTGCCCTTCATACTTTCTCTATATGGGCCTTGACTTTTAATTGTAAAAGCTTGAGCCTTTTCAGTTGTTAGTTACTTAAAATGTGGATACATCTGAATGACCTACAGGTAAACATAATATACAAAAAGTATGACTAGGGAATGTTTCTAGCACCAGAAGAATGCAGCCACCTAGGAAGATAAGTGAAAACACCCCAATTATAGCATAAACCAACACAGGAAGTGAGACTTACTAAAACCAAAAGTACATAGCAAGTTGAAAAATGTGATATGTTATGATCAAAAAGTTTGCTTTCAAGTGGTGCAGACTGTGCTGCAATAATTTTGGCCAGGCCAGCTGACATCATCCTCTGAGGCTCCCTTGCCTGTTTCTTCATCTCAGGTGAAAGATGACATCTCAACAGCTGGACTAATGCACTGACATGGAGTTACAGCACAAAGACTTTTTCTTTAGCTTACACAAATGTGACTCCTGGGTCATCAGTATGATGACTTTTTTTCAGTATCAAGGGAAAATGTCCCAGGCAACTTATCCTATTCACTGCAGGGAATATTAAAACAGAGGTAACTGCTGCCTTTCTAGAAGATGATCTAAGAAATAGAAACTTTGACATTTAGTTGTCAGGCTAATGAAAGCAGATATGGTGATGTAGAAAACAACTGAAAGGAGCAAAATTCAGTCTGAAGAGCATGTGAGTGTCCCTGACTCTGTGTTCCCTCTGTTTCAAACACAGGTGGCTAAGTAAGCTGGGAATGGCTGTAGACCCTCAGGCACCAAACAGGAAGAATGAGGAAGGTATGCTCCTAACTGGTTTCAGTGTGTAACTACATTGTGTTCTTCACAGTTTTTGCTTGGCCAATTTTTTTTATTTTTGCCAGCTATTTCCTTTCTTTTGAACTGTTATCTTGGGTCTGCCTACTGCCTGAGCTCAGAGAAACCGCATTGTCACGGCACAGAGTAACCACAGGAAAAGAAAAAATGGTGAGAAACAGTGTGAGTGAGAGACACTAGGTGATCTTGGGAGAGGTGTGTAACTACTTTCTGGCACTTTGCTGGCTTGCTAAGCCTACCAAGCATGAAGAGGACCAGTGTGCTGCTCTGGGTTTTGAGCTGGTGAGTTGTGTTAGAGGAGCTGTGCTGCAGCATGGCAGCTGCAGGGCCAGGGATACCTTGTGCTCTGCAGACCCATCCCTACTGTGTCCTCCAGTCTAGGGGGTTTCAACAATTGCAATGCTGGGGGATGAGGGGGTGGTACTGCTCTTCTGGAGCCTACAACTTGTTTTGGAGCCAAGCCCAAGTTCATTATGGAATGAAAAACTCTATAAGTCCTAAACAATTTATTTACTGTCTTAATTTGCACATCGACCTAATACAACTCTTTGGTGGGAGGATACCAGCACTCAAATCACAAATCTGGGCAGAGGGGCTGGTTTAGAATGAGAAGTGCTCTGAGTAACATTATGTTACCAAACCAGGGAAGGACTCTAACCTGGGGAATATGTGAGGAATATCTGGGCTTTTAAGTCTCCATTTTTAGAATATTGGTACCCAGTGCTCTTTTTGGAATTGCTGAGCTTGTGATGAAGCTGCTGGTATTTGCAGTTGTATGAACACTGAAGTGATGCAGCCTGTTTTGTCTAAGGAATGAAGTTCCTCTCTGCATCCCTTCTGCTCTACCACAAAATTCAAGATTGTAGTTTATGTCCAGGCTTGGGACATGTCATTACATTATTGATTAATTTGATCTGGCTCCATTTATGCTCTACCATTAAAAGCGGCTTTGGGGTTGATAAACACTGATGCTGCTGATTTCTGGAGAATTCAGCAAGTCTCATCAGTTTCTTTGTTTTTAGTTCCCACTTGTTTCTTGTCAGGAAACTTGTTAACTTCCACACCATCTAATTCTTCCTGCCTATATCCTGTTTGAAGCTGTCTTTATCAAAACACTTTAGGATTAAGGGCTATATTGAATGATAGGTTGTGTAGCAAGACCTGCAAGATACTTGTACTCAGGGAGGAAATCTGCAAACATATTGTCCATCTTTTCATGAAGGTAAGAGTTCAATGGAAAGTAGGAATGGCAAAAATTTTTTACATTAAATCAATTTTTTTAAACCTCAATAAAATGTGATACTGGTGGTATTGGTTGAATCAAGAATTATGAAACAATAAAAGATGAGTTATTCCACCAATTTTAATATTAAAAACATAAAAATAATCCACTCAATAACCTCTGCAACAGGTTATCTAATAACTTTGCAATAGCATAATATAGCAAATATTTCTTCAGCTTTTAAGGACAGTCGCCCATTTCCCCCTCAGGAAAAGGCCTTCTGATTCCAGTGTCAAACACCTCCTTGTCTTTTCATGCATGTTTTCTCACTGGTGCTCCAGCAGCTGCCTTCAGTGTGGGTGCAGCACCCACTGGTGCCTGGGTGGACACGTCCTTACAGAAACATTACTGTGTTTCATTGAAACACTGTCACTACCCACAGTCACTTCTGTTCCTGCTGACCAGTTCCTCCTCTCTGTATCACACAATTCTTCAGAATACTGGCTCTTTTTGTGGCATTTCTTGTGTATTCAGATACTTTCTGTGCATTTTAACACACTCCCCTGTTTAGAGTATCAGAAACAGCTGTTGAGTCTCTTTCAGTTTTTCTGTGTGCCTAAAAGGGGAGCTGTAGAAAGCATAGCTTGTTACTGAATTACTCAAAAAGGCATTAATAGAGTCTTAGAATTCTATATAGGCCTTATTGCAGCCAGTTTCAGTTCTTTATGCTTAGATGTGCCAGTATATATTTCCAGTAAACAGAACAGCATGTATGCTATTCAAAACCTTGCAGTTCTGCAAAGAGTACAGGGAGAAAAAATAATGAACTCCTTTAAGTTTCTCTTTGTTAACATGTTAGAAAATTCTCTCTCATGCACAAAATTCTTCTCTCTTACAACTTTATTCCCCTCACTCTGTGCTTGTTAACACCCACCCTCCCCCCACAATCACATGCAGAAAAATAAAGCGTGTGGGTATTAAATGAGTTAATTTTAGATGAAATAATTTCAGGTGACTGTCCAGAGACCATGCTAACAAACTTTCTAGTGGTTTGGGCCCCTGAAGTCAAGCTCTGATGAGGAATCAGAGCTGGACTTAAGCAACCCCTGTTCTCTGGGGCAGAGCTGAACAGAAGCTCTGGGACAGCACAGGCTGCTGAGGCTTGTGGCCAGCAAAGGGCAGTGCTGATCCCATGGACACCACAGGGGCAGCCTCTGTTCTGTGACCCTTGGCACTCAAGTTGTCCTCATCCGCCTCTGACTTTGTCTTTGCAAACTCCCACGTCCCCAGCTCAGTGGGGACAATGTTTACTATGATCTTGTCCAATGTTTACTATTGCCAGGTCCTGGGCATAAGAACCAGCAACATGCTCCCTCCCTTTTTCTGTGTCTCATTTTATCCATGATTATCGCTTCATTTAATCCACCTTTAAACACATTTGTGGAAAATATTTTCACCTGTTGCACGGATAGTTGAAAGAAATAACAGGATGACTGCCTCTGCCACATGTCAATGAGTTCAAACTCCTACGAGTTTGTTACCAAAAAAAAAAAAAAAAGAAAAAATAAAAAAGAGAGACGAGAGAGAGACACAAGTAGGGTTTTCCTCCTTGGGTATTCCTAGAGTACTGTGTTGTTTACTTTTGGTATTACTTCATATGTTCTGCCATGCTGTATGGTGTGTCTATCTGAGACACCATGTGTGACACAAGACTCTCACAAGGTTGCTCTATAGTTTCCAAAACAGGATATGGACAATCTTTTTATTCCAAAATTGCAGCCAAAGCCCCAGTACCTGTTGCTAGCTCCAGGAAAACTTATTTATTACAGAATTAAGAGATTGCCTCTGCTACTTGCAACAGCTCTCCAGCATTACTATAAGACTACCAGTGGATTAAGAGACACTGACTTGTTAAAATATACTCCTAAATCCAGTACACCTTACTTGGTGATCTTTGGTTGCCACAGTGCTGCAAAGATTAATATGTTTGTCTAACTCTTTATTTTTGCTCATTTTCCATGTCTACCTCAGAATGCTACAGTGAAAGTGAGCATGACGACCCCGAAATAACAGACACGCCACCTCCACCCTACACAGTCCAGACCCCACCTCCTCCTTCGGTAAGTGTTCCAGTTATTACCTTGTTTCTTGTTGCAAGCAGGTTGAAACAGAACCCTCCTGAGGTGGTGGACCTCCAGGAGTAACCTAAAACACTGTCTGGGAATGTCCATGCTGTGTTCCTGTGAAACCTTCATGCACAGACCGCCTGCCCCGTGGCAGAGCTCACAGCTGGCACATCCTGCACCACAGGGAGCTGTGCACTGCAAAAGAGCAGCTCCTTCCCATTTATCTTGCTAGAGAAAGGAAGGTGTCATTCTACCTCATACACAAGCTCTGTCTTTTCTTGACAAGATTTTTGACAGACTGCTATAAGCTGTTTTTTCATACTGTTCTCTCTCTTTTTTTTTTTAATCCATCCTGAAACCTCTCTCTTTTTGTGACCTTAGTAGCATATCTAACAGCTTCATATTTATATATTTGAGTGGGCTGTTTTTAAGACTGCTGAAGCTGAAACTGCTTTTGTGACAGTGAAGTGAAGGGAAAGAGGCCTCTTCACACAGAGATAAAAATCTGGTTTTTTTTCTTCTACCTCTGAAAAATAGACTATGAAAAAAGATAATAGACATTCTGAATATTGAATGTCCCAGAATATTCCTTCCTGTCTCACTTCATTTCATAAATTAAAATAAGCACTCTGAACCCTCCTGAGTCTAATCAAGTTGGCTTGCCTAATTATTATCTAGTTCTTGCCCTATTAATCTTGTTTCTATATAATTGTTTTTCCCAGTGATCTCATTGCCCTTAGATGTGATTTAAATGAGTTTTTAAAAAAAATCTTCAAATTTTTAAAAGTTTTTCCATTTTTTTTTTTTTTTAGTAAAGAAAGAAAAGTTGTTAATTTGCTATGACAGGTAGCTTCGCTAGTAGGTTTAGGGTGGTTTTTCTTTCCTCTCTTTGCAGCCTTTAAAAGAAAAGTTTAATTTGTAGTAGAAGTCAGGAAGAGTTGTTGCAAGTAGCAGAGGCAATCCCTAGATGTTTGTAACCTGTAAGTTTTCCTGGAGCTAGCAACAGGCATTGGGGCTGTGATTTTGGAGTAAACAGATTGTTCATATCATGCTTTGGAAACTATAGAGCAGCCTGGTGAGAGTCTTTTGTCACTACATTTTTAATTTTTTAATATTTTTCCCATTAAAATGGAATGTCAAATTTACTTAATTCTCTGTTTAGAAAAGAGTGATCTGGTTTGGGTTGGTAATAAGGAATCCTGATTCAAGCCTTTCCCTTCTCTACCTGAAAGTTAGCACTGAGTGGTGTTGCAGAAGTATACTTAGTACTAAATATTCTCATGGCATCTCATAGAAAGGAAGTTCCTCTGTGGCATGCTGAAATGACACCCAGTAGCTGGGGTGGAGAGAAAGAAAAGTTGTTAATTTCTGCAAAGCAGGAGGAAATCAGAAATATACAGATGAGCTAGAGAAACTTGTGCAATCACAGGCATTAATAAGAGGAGATGTAGTGGACAGAGTTGTCTGTTTGGCCATCTCTAATTAGCTCACATAAAGCTGGGAGCACATGTCCCACTGTCACCCACTCACTCCCCTCATTTTCAGTCAGATAAGTCAGCCTTCACTTCCTCATCCCGAAACGTGTGACGTTTATCACCAGAACAATCCTCCTGGCACGCGGGGGTGTGAGGCACTCACTGCTGTAGAACGTGGTTCAATATTGCCTGTATTAGCTGGAAGGGAAATGTGACTGAGTGCCTACAAATATCAGAGGAGAGAAGAGCTTTGGCAATATGTCTCCCACAGTTATTCAGGGCTGTGGGTCAGTTAATGGAGCATCTTGAATTTTATACCTCAGTGGCTTGCCTTCAGGAGATGTAGATGTGTTTTCCGTCTGCTCGCCTCTGGGTGAGTGCCTGCGTTTTTCCAGATGATGAGTTTTAAACAGGTGCTGGTTTTAGTCTTCTGTTTTTCTGGTTTCCTGCTGCCTTTTGGTCTGTTGCTGCAGAGGCCATCTCCGGTTGTCTCCTTCCCATATGCTCCTCTGGAGTGCTGGCCTCCACATTTTGGCAGGGAACATGTGGGAGGAAGGCAGTGGTGCAGATGCTGAGGGATACTGCTTTCTCAAGCTTTCCCTTAAAGGGAATCTTCCCTTCAGCTTTTGCTTTTGTCAGCTGATTTCCCAATTCTTCCTATCCCTTAAAATCCCTTTCCTTGTGGAGGAGTCATCTGTTCACCCATTTGGCCACTCCATTTGCTGTGGGTCTGACCCGTGCTCAGCTTGCTTACAAAGTGAGTAGGAACAGCTCTGTTTGACTGCAAGTCTGAGTCTTCTTTTAAATACAATATTTAATACCCCTTAAAACTTCTGGGCAAGGTCTGAAACAAGAAAAACACTGGAAGGATTGGGAAAGCTCAGCTTCCACTAAAAACTCAATTCTAGGTTTACAGCCTGTGGCTGTCTCAGGGAAGGCTGGTTAAACACAGCTCTCTGCTGGATTTTTTGTTGCAGAGTTCTTGAACCAAGCTGTGAAGTCTCAAAAATGTGGTGGATTTGGGTTTGTATTCTGCGGGTGCAGCACTTGGCCTACTTCTCAGATTGCTACTGGAAGTGACACTTATCCTGTCAACTCAGCTCAGTGTCAAGAATGCCACAGGCATTGACTGGAGTTAATGTCTTTTTATTCTTTTAAGCAGAAAGGCCTCCAAATTTCTTGACATCAACTCCAAACCCAAAACTATTATTCTGGAAACTCATAGAAACCCAGGTGTAGGCTCTGTTACATTTTTTTAGAGCAGCAAACACTTTGCTGTACTTTTAGAGCCAAGTTTGTACTTGCTATTCTATTCTCTGCTGGCTCAAACCATTTTGAAATTTGCAGAAGAATAAAGTAGTGATCATGAGGTTCCATGTGTATGCATGAATTTGGGTACTGTGGAGGAAAAAGTAAGTGAGGAACAAATAAATTATCGCATCTGTAAGAGAAAAGTTAAACTGGCCACCTGCATTGTCCACATGTGAATGCATACACAGTTAAAAAAATCAGCAGATACATTAAGACAATAGATTGCAGCAGCAGCCAAAAATGCAGTTGAAGATTTTCATGGTCATAATTTTTCTCTAAAAAATATCTAGAGATTCATTAACCTCCAGTGAAATCCTTATGATCTACTTTTTAAAACATCCCCAAATGGAAATTTATTATACGGATGATTGCAAAACTTCCAGAGGAGTCATTCAAATAAGTTAGGTAAACATTTGTCATGCCAAAGAAAAAAACAAAACACAACACACATGCAGACCAAAAGAAACACCTTCTGGCAGTCATATTTATTCTTACTCATATTTTTTAATTAACACACAATGAAAAGGAAAATAAAAACATATTCCCCTCAGTGAGGCACAACGTACATTTCAATAACACTTTTTTTGTATAGGCAAATGCCAGAAAAATAGAGGTGAGATCTAATATTTTCCTTTTCCAACTTTGAACAACTGAAATTAGACTATCTGCAACATGTGGGCAAGAGCTCTTACTGTTAGGTTGTTCTGCTTGACTTTGTAAATGCTTCAACAATTTGTTTTTGTGGTAGGAACTCTTAGATGAAATGCTTCATATCACCTGTGTTCCCAAGGGCACTTTTAGTACTCCTAGTTTAATACAGCATCTCCTCATCCTTTGCTTGAGGATGCGTATGTGAAGGTTTCTATTTTAGAGACAAAAACACACCTGAAACACAGTGCTGTGCTTTTCACAGGGGAATATAAATGTCTGGGTCCTGCAGTGTTTGACATGGTCTTATAGGAGTCATGAAAGGATCAGAAAACATGTCTTATGAGGAATGGCTGAGAGAGCTGGGTTTGCTCAATCTCAAGAAGAGGGGACTCAGGGGAGACCTCATTGTCCTCTACAATTCCCTGAAGGGAGGTTGTAGCCAGGTGGGAGCCATGCCTACAGTGACAGCACTGGAGGAAGTGGCTTTAAGTTGGGACAAGGAAGATTCAGGTTAGATATAAGAAAATTTTTTTTCACTATTAGGTTGGTCAGGGATTGGAATAGGTTACTCAGGCAGGTGGTGAAGTCACCATCTCTGGAAGTGTTCAAGAGGGATCCGAATCCAGTGCTGGATGATGTGGTTTAGGGGTTGCAGTGGAAGTGCTGGGAGCTTGGCTGGACTGGATGAACTTGAGAGCCCCTTCCAACCTTGACAATTCCATGATATTATGAATGGCTTAAAAAATTGACAAAAGTAAAGAAGCTGCTATAAACAAATAGTGCCCACAGTCTGATATAGGTCCTCCTCATCCTCTGAATTGACTCCTTGTTACATGATGCAGCTGCATTAGAAGCACAGGAAGGCTTTACTGTTTTTAATATGAGAAGGATGTATACATTACAGTATACAATACTGAATTGAGGAGTTTAAAAATAATAATAAAAAAATTGTTACTCTTGGCTTGGTTTATTTGAATAAAACTTATTTCTGGTTTACTTTATAAATAGGTATTCCAGGCTAGCCCCTTTACTGTGTTTTCAGCTTTTCCAGGTTTCCCTAGCAACAACTTCTCAGTAAGTTTCAATATTTTCGTCTAGTTCTCATCTGCTTTAATCCTTACACAGACCTATTTTGCATAAATATTGAGGACAGAAACTTGTGGTCCATCAAGTCTGGTATTCCAATGCTGGCATTGGCCAGTAGGAGATGATATGCAGAAGGAGTAAATTTCTGCAGTAGCAAATCTGGCTTTCATATCATGATGATCTCATCCCAATTTCTGATAGTTTCTGCTAAGCCTACTTGCTCTGGTGAATGATTATCCCTTGAATGGACTAGGAAAAATACTTTACTGTACTTCAGTGCTTGGGACCCCTTCTGTCTATCCCTGGTTATTGCATTGGTGGAACTGTAGAGTGCTTCATATTCAATGGCTAATTTGGAGTTTTTCTTCTTCACTCTCGATTAGGCCAATAAAGTGAAGACAAATTAAAGAAAGAAGGTGAGTGTGAGACCTACCAGAGAAGGCTACTTTCAGCATAATAGTTTTCCTTGGTCTTTGTTTCTAGGCACTGTCAGGTTCATACCTCTTTTGCCTTTGGCTTCCTGGTGGCTTGGTTTCTGAAGTTACTGCTCTGTAGGAGATTGATTGCCACACCACTGGTTTGTTTGGATGGATAAGTAACCAGTACATCAATTTTTGGTCATTCAGCATTTCAATGGCATATCTATACATCATGTAGAACCTAGGAAAAGGAGTAATTTGTAAATAATTTTTCTTTTTTCTCCTTTTTTCCTTTTGTTTCTGGAAAGCAGGATCAGCAGAAGTCATCATTCACCTCAACTCTGTCAAGTGAAGCATCTTGCTCTCTCTCCTCTCCTGAAAGCACTTTCAATTCCCAAGAATCATCGTCTTCCTTGACATCCAAAGTGGTTTATTCCGAGAGGCAGTCCTGGCTTGACCTGGTGAACAGCTCTGCCACGGAAGAGGGTGATCAGCCATTAACATTCTGCGTACAGATCCATTCTGCCGAGGCGCCACAAGTGGTCTGTGCGGATGCAGCAGAAAGCCAGGAAGTCCAGCTCTCCCAACCCAATGGTGGATCCCAAACCTCTTACCTAAGTGCAGATACACATTGTCTAGCTGTGCCAGATGCAGCAGGACAGCGATCACCAGCCAGAGGTGAGCTAATGAGAGAGGAGACTTTTGCTGCAGAGCCATACAATGGAAGAGTTCCAGGTTTCCTCAACTTCCTTCCCCCTTCCTTCCTCTATATTCCTCACTGAAGAGTTTTCCAGTGGCACATCATTTATAACATATAAATTATTGCACATTAAATATATAACCTAGTATCTGGTTTACAACTTTTGTCAAACTGTATCTATATGTTAGACCATAACCTCTGTGTATAAATTTAGCATACATATAATTTTATTAACAGCCTTTATTTCAGTGCAGATATCTTTTATTCATTAGGATTGAATCAAAATATTAACAAAGTGTGTCACAGAATGGACGCTGTAACAAAACTGTAATATGTAGGGAAGGGTGAACATAGGGTTAAGTCAGTCCAATTTTACAAATCTGTGCTGCTGCATTTACTCAAAGTACCTACTCCCTATTTGCTACATTAAGCTTCATTGTGATCAAGAGACAACAACTGAAATACTGAATCAGAAAGTCTATTAAGACTGGATTTTGTTTAAGCAAATAGGTTCCTGCACAGTATCCTCCTACTGAAATGTACTGCTAATTGAAAAAGGTGGCGTGGTTCCAGAATTTGGTTGAATTGTTACTGTTTGTAACTCTCCTGTGTAACGAGGAAATATCTCCTGCCTTTTGAGCAAAGCTTCTTCTTCCTGAGTTAAAAGCAGTTGAAGCCTAAGAGTTGTTCCTGGCATACAGTTCTGAGTAGAGGGGTAATACATAAGGGAACAACAACATTCCTGTGCCTCAGCTATTCCCATGATTCCAAATCCTTGTAAAGATTTGAAATGACTACTCTGTTGCTGAAAGAGAAGGGTTGTCTCAGCACAATGCAAAAGAAAGGTGCATGTAAAAGCTTAGGCTGAAAATAATGCAGTGGTGGAAAGAAACAACATTGGAGTTGTTGGGAAATCAGGGCATTTCTCTGTAGGTGAACCTGATACTGAAAGATGATACTATGAGACACATTAGTTACCTTGTCAGCCTCCCTATGTTTTACAAATATCAACACTTAGAAAGCTGGCACCCCTTTATGTAGTCATACCTTTCCTGATTTTACACACACACACAAAAAAGGACAGTAGGAAAAGTAAAGTTTTCATCAAAAGTGAAAATTAACTCAGTGTTTTCTGCTCACCTACCTTATCCATTTTGTAGGCTTCTCTGCTAGAAAATTCTACAGCAATGAAGAGCAGAAAAAATTGAAATCCAGAGTGAGCATATGTGCTCTTGCTATGCATTGGAGAAGAGTGCTGTGCTTTGAGTTACTGTGGAATCTACTTCCCCTAATTCTGGCTTTTCAAGCTGTGAAAAAATCTATGAGAAAGTCATAGAAATGACTATGACTTTCTAATGAAAAAGTCACAAAGACATATTAAATATATTGTTTTCTGTAATTTTACCTTATGAGTGAAATTTGATAAAGTCATGTCTTTGGAAAACATCATTAGGGATATTCAAGTAGATTGTTGGAATGTAGGTAATAAATGGCATAGTGGCTTATAGATCCTGTTGATAAAGATTCAGTGGTTGCTCTTCAGAAATCTAAACTTTTGCCTAGAATATACTCCTCTGGTATTGTCAGAAATCCTGCAATAATGTGTAGGTTATTGCTTTCCACTGTAATGTAAGTGTGACAAATACTTTTATGGATGTCAGAGAATGCGCATGACACATTCATAATCACTTAAAGTGTAGTTTGATCATAGGCTCAATCATACTAACCAATTAAATGGGATTAAAATGTAAATCAAGGCATATTTTTGTATACTCCTGCAGTGTGCAAGATGGTTCAATTTTGATAAGGTTATTCCTGGGGAAATGAATGCTTCTGTTGCTCACTGCTTAGCTGATGGGCAGCCCTGATGGCAGAGCACAGAACATTTCCACCTGAGCCACAGTGGTGATCACTGACAGAATTCCAGAAATAGATAATTTCCCCCAGACAGTCACTATGGAAACTGTATCACCTATCACCTCACTAGTTCTTGTCTGCATCATGACCCATTGCTGACCAAGCAAACGTACACCAGACACAGGTCTGTCTTTCCTTTATCAGTCTGCATATTATGGGCTGGGCATAGAGAGTGCTGCTGTGTGGGGCCCTTCCCTGCAATGGTCGCTGAAAACAATAAGGAAATATTTTGCAAGGAGATTAAGCTACTTCAATTTGAGCATGAAGTGGGAAAAGAAGGATTAATGTAAAATAACATTTCAGTTCCAAATGAAAGTTATCAAAAAGGATGCAATTCTGGCTCTGTGGCTCATCCCCCAAGAATTTCTCTCTCCAGCTAGTTGATAAGCATGTGCATAAATACTGTGAGATGAATTCAAGTTGATGAGTAAAATCTACCTGCAAATTCTCCTGATTTGCAAAAACTGGTAAGAGCACCCTTGTTATCTGATGCAAAACAAGAAGGCATACCTCAGTGCAGTGGGCATTATTTGCTTTACAGTGCTTCTGAATAGTGTGTTTCTGACATGTTTCAGAGTCATGAAAGTGCATCCAGGATGAGACAAGTCTTTCTTTTGTGCACATTTGTCCTGAAAGCACATATTCCCTGTGTGTAAAGACAGCCCTGCTGTCATCAGAACAGCTATGTTCTTAGTCTTTGATCCCAGTCCCCCACAGAACCTACAGGTGTGTCTCTCTCTGTTTCTCCTGGTGAGGATAAAACAACCCTGCCACACAGTTTTCTGGCCACATTCTTCAAGGTAAAGCCTCAAGTTGAATTTTTGTTTGTAGCTGATAAGAGCCTAGAGTTTGAGGTGAAAATTTTCTAGAACTGAAGAGAGCTTTTGCTGGGCCAAGTCTAGAAATGGAGACCAATGTGAGAAAAGTTGGTACCTAAAAGGAAGAAAGAGAAGCTGTTGTTTTGTGGGAAGAGCTTACCATGAAGAAGTACAAAAACAGTGAAGAAACCTTAGTGATGAGTTAAACAATGGAAGAAACATTTTCCAGAAATAAATGAATGAATCTCCATAAGAAAAGCTACAGATTCAACTAAATGATGATGGATTATTTTTTTCTACAGAAATTATTTAATGAACCCTGCTAAGCAACTGTGAGTGTCTGGTGCAAGGAGCCATAACATTTGATATTTTTAACAATCTTTCCAACCACTCTTAGTGGCGTTATGAGCATTGTCAGCATTTATTCTCTGCACCAGTTACTGGGGAGATGTTACATACCAGAGAGTGATACAAAGAAGGGGAGTTTATCAGTTTGCTCTTTTGAAAGGAGGCCAACATTATGCATCCATTTACTTTTTGGAAATATTTAAGACTTTGGTGATGCAGCTTGCTACATGCAGAGTGACAATGGATTCTAAGCTGCCTGTGATACAAAGAAATTGAAAGGTAAACAAGAAACAGCTGAGAATACAAGCAGCTGTCTGGCTACGTGCACTGTATCCAGGAGCTGGCCTTGGCCCCTCCAGGATGGCTGGACACACTCTCCATCCTTTGTATTTCTTCTGGCAACCACTGGAAGAAAAAGTATATGACCCAGACACAGCACCATTATGATCAAAAATCACAACAGCTAAAGAAAGCCACAGGAACTAAGAGGTTTTATAAGAAAATAGGAATGTGTGTTCCTATTTAGCTAGGGATCTACTACTATAGCAGTAAAATCCTTCTTCCCGGCATTTTCTGAGGGTTTCATGATTGTACTAAGTTAATGTACCTTGGCAAGACATTCCTATTTTACCACTTCTGGTTCATTTTACCTAAGCTCACAGTAGCTGGAAGATCTGGTGTGTGCTGATATTTTCAAACATGGACAGCTTTTCAAATACCTCTTGGATTTTATCTGGGTTGGTTTTGTGGGAAGGAGTTGGTTAAATAGGAGCTGGATTAATTTATTTCCTTCTGTTCTCACCACTGACATCCTCTTCCTCTCTGGAGTCTGCCTGTGCCAGTAATAGCCAGAACAGATCCTCTGGTGTGCTCTGGACCCTTTGTTCCTTCTGCAAAAGTTATAGGGAATAGCTGGATCGTGGCTGAGACTAGATGAGAAATGGGGAGAACAACTGTGTAAAGAAACAACTTGAATAATTATTTTGTTTCTCATCAAAAAAGCTTTAGAAATCACAGTGAAAACTACGGTGCTATGGCTTTCTGAACCCTCTGAAAAAGAGATACTTATTTATGTTGTTTCCAGTTCAGTTTATCAAAATTCCACCCCTCACTGCTGAGTCCGCTATACTGTTAGACAACAGTGTCTAACTGTGGTAGCATAGTTTTCTGATTATTTTCTTCCAATCTTTCCTCCCTTAGTTCTGCATTTGCCAGTGAAGAGTTTGCCTGAGTTATGCTCACCTAACTGAATTTTTTTCTGTATTTTCTGTTCCATAATTATGTGAGAAATGGTATTTCCCTGAGGGGACTTCACATTCCCATCAAAAAGTCTAGTGCCACTGTGGAGAAGAGCTAGGGGGTGGATAGGTAGGGAAGGGCAAAAATCATCTGCGACTTTTTGCCTCTGCTCTTTTCAGCCTTGGGTGTATGTGTTCTCTCAACTGGTGTAAAAAAATTTAGCAGAATCAGAAAAAGAGGTGCTGGCAAAGCTACAAGATGCTCATAAGAGTAGCGAGAACAGGAGGAAGAAGCAGAGTTTTTTTCCCTGGGATTAATACACAACTGGGGGTCTGTGAGATCTCAGTTACAGAATGGGAGAACAAATATTTACATTTTGGATAAATTTAGTCAGATGTGTTCTGTTGGAGGTGGTTTTCAATGTAAAATGCTCTTTTTGCCAAACATTTCGTTTTTCTTTATCTTTACTACTGGGAAACAATCAACATTATTTTTCACAGCTGCTTTTTGAAAGTTCTGGATAATTTCACTTATGGAGGCATAAAGAGCATTAAAGTTGAGATTTCAGACAGACTCCTGTACTGATGCTCCAAGATGGGGAGTCTCAAAATATTAATGTCTCCAGCCTCTGGCAAGTTGGCTGACAGGAGGGCTGAAGCTGAAAATTGAGGAGGTGAAGAATAGGCATGTTGAGCCTCTGGGAGGTTGTTCTTGTCTGTTATACCTCCCGTTAGAAGGAAATTCCAGATAAATGGCATCAAGCCTCAGAATCGTGTTTTAGTTCCCCTAAATCAGAATTTTTCAGTTCCTCCATTACCTCTCCCCCTTTCAGATTTACAGCATCAATCTAATGCATTCAGTGGCAGCTTCAAGCTTGCAAAATGTGGGCTTTTTCTTTCTGAGCTTGGATCAGGGGTGCTCAGGATGCTGAAGGTAAAATTCCAGATAGGTAACAGATAGTCTGGCCTCAGTTTATAGAGGTTTGTTGGCAGACATATTCTTTGTCAACAGCAACAATGTTCTACACAAATGCACAATATTAGGATACTCTCTTACTTTTAGCATTAGTTGAAATTAATCAAAGTTGGTGACAAAAGTGCTGTGTAACTCATACCTGGCTCTACACAACCTGTAAGTTCCACTAACCCTTGTTTTTCAGCAGTTTGTTCAAATTCCATTTAGTTCTTTATCTATCTGATATGAAGAATCTGACATGTTCCCTCCCCTTTGAAATCATCTGACCCTGATTAATCCCTTGGAGGATGAGAATGGTGGAAGAATAAGAAATAGGAAAAGAATTTCAGGGAGAAGTCTTGAAAGTCTGCAGGAGCTGAGTACACTTTGCTGGTGTAAAAGCTCACAAGTGCATCATGTGTGAGCTTTCTCCTGGGCTTTTCTGACTTTGGCTCCATCTTTTTCTGTGCTGAATGTTACTGTACTCCTGACGGTTTCCCACAAGTGCATGGAAGATTGTTTTGCATGAAAGAAGAGTGTTCAGTGAAGGTGAATTTTTCTCAGTCTTTCTGCTTTGTAACGCTCTTAGGATACTGAGGAAGTCCATGAGTTAGCCTCAAAAGGTGCCTGGAGCAGGGACCTTAAGTCTGCTGTGGGTTGACTTTATCTAAGAGTTGCTGAGCAGGACTGAAGCAACTTTCTCCCCTTCTTACAGTCTTGGATAGCTGATAAAGATCAATTTATCTCTCAAAGTATTACTGTGCACAGTCCTGATGGGTGATGTCTACAGCAGAGTTGGGCCAGTCCTGTGCAGAAGCTGGCTAATGAAACAAACAGCTGCTTCATCCCAAGAAAGCAGGCAGGAAACTAGTTATTGCAAGCCTCATGGCATGTGCCAATAGCTTTCAGGAAATACTATTGCCGTGTATTATGCCTTACACTTCCATTTTTTTTTCTGTTTCCTGCAGCTTGTTAAATATACAACAGTTCTCCTTTTCCTCCCCCAGCAATGTACCAATGTTGGAAGTTATATTTAGTTTTAGTTAAGTTGCAGTAGGCTTTTTATAATCACACAGTAGTGAAGAATAGGCCAGAAACACAGTGAAGGCAAATATTTGCAGCATATCATAAACCTTTCTTGTAACCTAAATATTTAGAAAGAACAGAGATGTAGGAGGATGCTGTACTTTATAAAACATGGAAAAGATAAGAAGCAGCCTCCTTAGCAAGCTGACATATTGCAGCATTCTTTTCACAGCAGCATGACTGAGCAGAAGGACTTGTTCCTTTTGTTGTGAATATATTTGCTGACTGCAGATGATTTAGAAAAGTAAATGTTTAACTTTAAAAGAAAAAAGTGCCCAGCCAATTCAATGGGAATAGGAAGGACTGCAGTTGAGAAGAACCAACACCACTACCCCCAGTGACATAAAACCAAGTGTTATCCAAAGTGGATCTTGAGGGATTCATTAGCACCCTGAAAACAGCAATAGCTGTAAGACTTTGCTTTAGAGATCACTGAAGCTGCATGGACTGAAGGACAAGAAGTGAGTTGTGCAGTCTGTTGCTAAAAATGTCCTTCTGCTGAAATGCCCCTACATATGCCCGGCACATTTTCCATTTCTGTCTGTTCATTTTAAAGTTCTTTTATTCTGAGAAATGCCTTTGCTTAAATTTTCATCTTATTTTATGCTATTCTCAGCTCTTTATTTGCTTTTCCTTTCGTGTACTCTCTGTCTTGGAAGATGGTCCTGCAGCTTGGGAGCCAACAGAGTAATTAAGGTGGAGATAATCAAGGCTTTGTTGTGAGGATTTATAAGCAAATTCTCTGCTGCAATCTGTGAAACTCCAGGGCAAGACATTGGATATCCCAAAAGTTTTTGCTTTAATCTGTTCTCTAGGGACCTTCTCTTGGGGCTCCTGAAATGTTTCTATGTTTCTTTTAATTGCTCATTTTTTTGAAACTCTGTTTTCAATAATTACCAAAACCTGGTGATGAATCAGCGCACCAAAGAGAATTTGCCCTGAGAGTTGCCAAGTAGAAGCATAATTCGCTGTGAGTAGCATGTGGGGTGGGATGAATGGGTGTAGATGCTATCAGAGTTGTTTCATTCAAACATAGGGCTACTGAGAGTTGTTCAAAGTCTGTGATATATCCAGAGCATTAAAGCAGCACTGTACTAGTGGAGATACAAGCTCACATCTGTTTGGATCATCATCTGATTCTTAGCAACATGTGAGTTTGGAAGTATGTCTTTCTCATAGGCATTATTACCCTAGAAATTACCCTAATTTCCCTTAGTTTTAACTCTAATACAATTATTTTTTGAGTTGGTTAAGAGCCTTCCTAATAGCTGAAGGCTAAAAGCATAACTTTTCTGTTATCTGCTGATACATTAATGTTCTCATGCCCCATTTATTCTTTTCTTTGCAGACCAGGAAAAGTGTGATGATGATGATGAGATGGAGCGACTTTACAAGTCATTGGAGCAAGCGAGCCTGTCTCCCATTGGTGATCGTCGACTGTCAACTAAGAAGGAGCTTAGGAAGTCATTTATCAAGCGCAGCAAAAACCCCTCCATTAATGAGAAACTCCACAAAATTCGAATGCTGAACAGTACATTAAAGGTGAGTTTGCAGATCTTGCCAAGGAAAAGCTTGAGAGAAAAAAACAGTTTGGCTGAAAAAGAAGCAGAAGAGACTTCAGCTAAACTGTAATTATGTATTTACTGAAAGCCCCAGAGAATTTTGTTAAGTTTTGGAATTCTTTTTTCTGCTTCATTGTGAACACTGATCTGTGTTATGTTGTTCAGCTTGAACTGGAAGCAGAGGCAATAGCTCAGGAGGGACTCCTCTTACAGAAGTTCCAGCCCATTTGGAAAATTTAATAAAGAAAACTCTTAGTTAACTGGAAAACTTGCTAGCTCAGCTAAATACACTAAACAGGGGAGCCTTAAAAGAGGAAGAGCAGACAAAGTACCTTGATGATAAAGGACATGAAAATGACCCTGAGCCAAAAAAAGTTTTCCTTATGTGATTATCAGAGAATGTACAGGATGTGCCAAAGCTATTGTAAAGACCTCCTGTAACTAAAATATTTCTAATAACAAAAGCATCCTGCTTTTATGTTGGAAATATATCACGAACTGGAGGGGTACAGGGGTTCAGGGGACGTTCCATGAAAGGGCCGGTAAATCTGTCTGGAATGTGGGAATTTATGAAGCAGTTTACTTGCCAGCATCAAGTGTAATGGGATTTCAAAGCCTGCTTGTGAATGGTACTGAGGGAAACAAAAAGCTTAGCCATAGCATTTATATTGTAAGGAGAAGACAGAATAAATGCAAACTTGGGGCTTCACTTGTTTCTTTTTGTGTGCACTAGAAGCAGGAATTGAGTATCTTGTTTCAAATGGATGTATTTGGCTTCAGGCACTGTAAGCTGGAGAAAGGCATGTAGAATGGTTGGACTTGATGATCCTAGAGGTTTTTTCCAACCTTAGCAGTTCTGTGATTCTAAAAACTTATCCTGCCAGCACAATCATTGGTTTATTAGTTGCAATGGAAGGCTTGGCTTTGATGCCTCAGCCTGTATTGAAATTCCTGAAAAGTAAAGGCAATTGGGAAGAGAGGCATCCTTCTTGGCTCTGTATGAGACCTGATGAAGTCTCTCCTTAGTATCAATGAGTTTTCAGAGATGTGGCAGTGACTACAGAAGTATTCATTTGCATCAGCACTAAAGTGAGTCCCCCACATAGCTGAAAGTTGGTTTAAAAATTGTGTCCCCTTCCTACATACAGAAACATTCCAAAAAGTTTTCCCTGACAGGGCCCTCACTAATAAATCTAAGAACCAGTTAGTGCAAAATGGAGTTGTATTTTGTGGGACAGTCACTTTCATTAGTATGGAGCTGAATGGAAGCCTTAATATCAGACATGAGCAAGGAGGACAACGGTTTAGCATGGGAGTATTATATAAGTTGTGATTAACTTAGGCTTGTCTAGCACTTGTATTTAATATGGAAAAATAAGTTTTGGAGTGTTCATAACATATCAAATATGTTGATCTCTTTGGGGTTTTGGCTTTTTTTTCTCTTGTTTTTTTTTTTTTTGATTGCTGGGTTTTTTGGTTTTTTTTTTTTTTTTTTTTTTTGCTTTCTTGAAACTAAGAACCTGGAGTATTTACAAGACAAATAAAATAGCACAGTCACTTTCTCATAGACACAAACAGAGTTCTCTACGCAGCAGTATTTAAGTTAGCCTGTTTGAAAGTCAAGTGCCTTCAGTGGGAAAGTGCCATATTAATTACATCAGTGGAATTATGTGCTTTTAGAGTCAATTTTCTTAATGTATAATGCAAGACATAAGATAATTGGAAATGATCTACTGGAAATTTAAAAATCAGGATTTTTAGATCCATATGTATGCTGCTTTAATTAAAACCCTATTAGTTTGAGAAGTGATTTATGCAAGTCTCAATGCAATTTTATTTTAGACTTTTGACTCCACATATTTAACAACAGATTAATGTTGCTGCCACAATATATCATTAACAAAACATGCTTTGAATACTTTGGAAGAGAGGGAAGCTATGTGCAAATGCATCACAGTCTTAGTGAATGTGGGAAATAATTTTAGTGCTACAGGAGAAACTCCATGGCATGACTTTTTGCTGCAAGTTTGTCCAGTAGAAATACTTCTCTTCTTTCCACCTCCTTATCTCCTTTCTTCTTCTCTTAAGCCAACTGTACATATCCCTGCATCAATGCTAGAAGTCTTCTTAAAAGGGTCTTGAGGGTAGGACGTGTGTAAAACACAGTTGAATGAGCTTTTGGGTTTAAAAAGCAGCTAAGGCATGACAGGAGTTGGAGCAGTTGAAGTTTCATTAGATAAGTAGTAGGATATGGATACAGAAACAGCTGATGGCTGCTATCAGAAGGTGAAATGAGTGTGTGGGAGTACTTTCAAGGTGTTTTCAAGGCAGCCACCAACACAGGGTGTCCTTGGGTATGATGAATGGGTGGCAGCAGGAGAAGATGGTTAGAACTATTCATTGCTTTCACACACAGACTGGAGTGAGGGAGTCCAGCAGAAGTAGCCAAGTTTTCTTAGTGCAGCATGGTGCCTCCATTAATAAATTATACTGTCACCCTGATTTTTTAAGATTTTCTAAGCCTTCTGATGTTTACATTCTGGTAACAAACTTTCTCACACACTTTCTGTAAATAACCCATTGTTTTGCATTATTTTATGGAGGAAGAGAAATTTGATAGACTGTTGGTTTGTCCAGTGTCATTGGAGAGGTAGCACTTTTACCCTCCAATCCACTGTCACTTTTAGAAAACTATAAATATTAAAGTCAGATAATAAACTTCCCTTTTCTTCACCTTGAGAGCAGCAGTGTGTATGCTTGTGTTGTTTCGTGTCCTGTAGCGACATTATACCTGCTCACTGGGGCTTCTCTATCCTGTGGTCCCTGGATAGGCAGTATGGGCTGGAAAAGCAAAGTCGTTTCTTGTGCCACAACATGAGGATATCAAAGAACATCAGTGTGTGAAAGGAGGGTGTAATGAAGACAGAGCCAGGCTATTTTCAGTGGTGCCCAGTGACAGGACCAGAGGTGAGGGCTCAAACTGAAACACAAGTTTCCCCTGGATAGCAAGAAACACTGTGAAGGAGACCAAGCACATGTTGTCCAGGGAAGCTGTTGAGTCTCTATCTTTGGAGATATTCAAGAGTCATCTGCACACAGTCCTAGGCAGCCTGCAGTAGGTGGCTGTGTTTGAGGAAGGGTTTTGGCCCAAATGACTCCCAGAGATCCCTTCCAAGCTCAACCATTCTGTAGTTCTGTGACATACACAGTCTCAGTGTCCCTGCATCCGTCACTGCCCGCACCTTACAAGTGAACCAGGGTGCATGCAATATATGGTCTGAGCTGCTCTCGCCTAAAAGTAGATGCCAGATTTATTAGCAGTAGCCGGTGGTAGATGGCAGACACAGGTACTGTAGCCACTATACTGCCAGTGCACAAATTATATCCAAAATTATGGTCAGTGCAGGTCCCAGAGAAGAGACATTTATTACATGGAATGAGTGTTTTTGAAAAAGTTAGAACTGCTGTGAATTACAGAAATAAATGCTGTTGTGTCTCATTTCATGCAAGCACTGTCTTGTTGAGAGACAGAATAACAGTGTGCAATTTTCACATGAATCTTCTCTCATCAAATTTTGCTAAGAAGCCTATAAAAAAAATCTAGATGAAATCATAATTTGCCTTTAACTGGGAAGAATTTTTACTGCAGACATAACTTTGATGACCTACACTCTAAAAACGGGAACAAGCTGCCAGGAGAATGGGTAATTGGCCATCTCCTTGTGACATGAGTGTAACATTCCCAGATTGTTTTTGTTAGGGACAATTGTCTTGACATTTTCTGTGGAAATAACCACTTGTTCTCTTCCTAGTGTAAGGAACATGACCTGGCCACAATTAACCAGTTGCTAGAAGACCCAAAGTTGACAGCGGTGAAGTACAGAGAGTGGAGGAGCACAAACATCATGCTGGTCCAAGATATTTATCAGCAGCAGGAGGTCCAGGACACATCCACAGAGAATAGTGAAGAGCAAGAAATGACTCCACAGCCAGTCACTGAAAGTGCTATTTGATCAATGGCACATGACAAGATTTTTCTGCACGGGTCTTCACGTACAAGCGATTTAAGCTGCTGTATCTTGAGGTTTGTTTTTCGCAAGTGTGCTTAAAAGGAAAACAACCCAGTCTCCAAAGTTTTAAATGTTCTTGCAGAGCTCATTTAATGTCAAATGGACAAGTTTCCCAAACTTGCCCAAGTTGCCCAGAAATCACGCCTGAATGTGGCCTGCATACGTAAGAAGACTATTTAACAAAGCAGCAAAGAAACGTTTTTCAGTTTTTGGAGAAAAAAATTATAAGTGTCCAGCTCCTGAAGGATGCAGAACTATGTAATATCTACTGTATAAATATGAGATCCTTGGGATTGTTTTAACTATACACCTTACCTTGAAATGAAGCTAAACTGATCCCAACAGGATGTAGCCTACTCTACCTTTTTACCCTCTATGGTAACCTGATGTATTAGTTTTCATCTCTGTACCCATTTACTTTCACCACTCAACCACTTTAAATGGAGACAAATGGAAGAGCAATTGTGCATGAGTTGATAATGTTGACAGCTGCCAGGCACCCAGTTTGGGTTCTGCCTGATGCTTTATGAGTTTCAAATTTATTTATGGTCCAGACCAAGAAGGTACTGTCTTTCTACAAGAAGAAGAGGTCTCTAAGTTTTTTGCTAACATGTAATTTACTCTTCAGTGAGATAAGATTCAACTTTTCTTATGGACTTGGCAGAATTTCTTGGAAGAATTATGTTCTTCTTTCTTTTTTTGGCAACTGGGAGTATAAAAGGTACAAGTTCATCCCAGAGTCCAACTTAAGGAAGGTGATCATATTCACAAGCCAGAAGCTAAATGACTCAACTCCTAATGTGGACCTAGAAGTGTAAAACAAAGCTGCAAATATTTTTGTAAATATATGTAATTTTATTACTTATATGAATGTGACTATGTACTGTATAGATGTTTTATTTATATATTTATATATGCTGAATTTCCTAATATAAATAGGCACATGTGGACCAAGCCCACTCAGCTGGGAGTGCTTACAGATTGACTTGAAATGCCTCTTTATTTTGTGTTCCATTATAGATCACAGTAATCGCTCTGCAGCTGAGACTACCCTGAGGCATATGCTGTGGCTCTTTCTTCTGCTTTTCTAGCTTTGAGTTTTAGATGAAGAAAATCTGTACAACTTAGGGCCTGAAAAAAGTTTTCTAGAGAGTTTGAAGAGTTCCCTTTGAGGGGAAAAAAAATAAGAGGTTTTGCTGCAGGATCATGACTTTTTGGGTTCATTGTCCTCATTACAAGGTTTTAGGCTTTTGCCTTCCTCTCTTCTGCAGTATAAGGAATTTTGCAGAGTGCTGAATTTTGAAAAGCAAGAATTAGTCCACCATTCCCAAATAAATGTCACTACAGGAACCGTGACAATCCGCACTTCTGTTGATATTTCGTGAGGATATTTGTCATTAGTTTTCAATACAGTTTATCTTTTAAAGCAAAATACACTATAGACATGCAGCCATATTCACCTCTCTTTATACATTTTATGTTTTATCATAGCTTGATTGACAAAACAAAAGATAGTGGTGTTAGTGGGAACATATGAAATCTTTTCCACCTGTGTAGTGATTTGTTTGAGTGTTGATATTGCACTTTTAATACTCAACAGCTTTGCTTTTAAAATAGAGGCAAGGAAATAGATGAAGATGACTAAATGGGGAAGCAGACACAAAATCCTGGATGGTTAAAAAGCTATTCTTTTCAGGAAATCATCATATGAATGGTGATTCCATCACTTCACTAATTCTAATTAGAAGTTAAGCAAGCTAAATACCTGCTGCAATTTTGTTTAGAGTAACTGCATCTTAAAATGGAGCCCATTTTTTGGTTGCTTTTTTGTTCTTTTTGGGTTTTGTCTTTTTTTTTTAAATAATTCTTCCACCATTCCCATTGAAATGCTGTCAATTAACTGCTGAGAACACCCTGAAAATTAGGAGTGTAGGGATTTATCTGCTTGGTCCATTTAATTTTTAAATACCTGGTGCTAAGTAATGGATAAATATTGGAGGACAAATTGCATGTTCTATCACACATGTGAGTTTCTCACGAAACAAGGCAGGTAAACACTGTTTTCCTTCAAAATCATCTTCACTCAGATGCTGAATAGAAGCACATGCTTAAGTGGCCTTTTGAGCTGGGCCAGTCAAGTCAGTGCTTTGCAGTTCTGAGCAAAGTCTGGGTCAACTCCATCTGCTGGAGTAAATTTGCTGTATACAAAGAAAAGCCTATGCAGCCTGTACATTCTGTGTTGGCTCTTTTCACACTGCACTTGTGTAAACACAGACAAAACAGCTTTCCCAAATCTAGAGACAAAGAGATGCCCTTGGACTGCCCAAACTCCACTATTGGTTTTGACAGATTACATAGCCTGAAATTGCTTTTAAATTACTCTCTTTTAGATGGTCAGTAGATACTTATTGTTGAACTATTGAGGTTTTGGAGACCTACTAAGCATGGGCTCTATCACTGCTTAGAAAAGAACAGAAAATTCTTGAATGGGGTTACTTTAATCCCAGTTATAACTTTAACAAATTTCTTTGTTCAGGAAAGCAAATGTATGTATGGGTTTTATGTACTGTGCAGGAAGTCTAACTCCACCCCCTTCAGCTACTACTTAGACTCAAAATAATGGAAAGCGTGGAAAATGCAAAGTGAAAATTGCAGTGAAACAGGATTAATTTTCTGGCATTGCTAATTACTGTGACAGTTTTTGCCTGGGTTTATCACAAGGGGCTGCCCAGCAGCGTGAAAGCCATAATCAGAGACAGAATTACGCACAAGCTGACAGCTACAGTGGGGAGCTGCCTCAACAGGAGAAATTTGGACAAGTCTGTGCTCTGCTCAGTGATGCTTGGAGTAACTGGTATTTCTTGGTCTGGATTTGGAAGACCTGCATTATTGACTCATAGCATAGGGAGCTGTGCATCCCTGGTGTGTGAATGTCAAGAAGCTTTTAACCATCTGCCTCAAGGGACATGTTTTGTACACTTTTTGGGAGGAAGTATGTGTGTGTGGATATGTGCACATGCACAATTTTTCTGGTCAGTAAAGCCAGTTGATGCAGAAAGTCCAGCAATGGGGATTTTGGAATTCCTGGTAACAATACCTGATTTCAACTGTTTCTGCAGCTATTCTGGAAATTGAATCTCGCTCTTTTCTGGTGGTGTGCATCTCATGAGATACCAGAATGAGACGGGATCATGTTTTCTTTCCTATGATGGAAGATTCCATGTGGGGATTGTGAATATTTTTACATCTAGCTCTGATGATTCAATCAATACTAGGGTTTCACCTTGTCATGGTTTTAAGTGCAGCTGGAGATGAAACACCATGCAGTTGCTTGCTCAGCCGCCCTCTCTTTTCCTTCCCTATCCCTGTGTAATGGGGAACAGAATTGAAGTAAAAATTGTAGGCTGAGACAAGAATGGTTTTATAATTAAAATTAAAGTAAAATACAACAGTAATGGTAAATAATAATAATGATTTAAAAAGGAAAGAAACCCAAGCAAGTGATGTTCAATGCAATTGCTCACCACCCACTGACCTGCCAGACCCCTCTTCCCAAACCCAGTCAGGCCCCCCTCCCAAGTAGCTCCCCGTGTTTTATTTACCTGGAATGATGTTCTGCAATGTGGAATATCCCTTTGGTCAGTTTGAATCCTCTGTCCCAGCTATGCTCCCTGCCAGTTTGGTTTTTTGTGCATTTCCCTACTGGCAGAGCATGAGACAAGGAAAAATATCCTTGACTTGGGATAAAACATGGCTTAGCAGAAAACAAAACACCAGTGTGTTATCAATACCATTCCCATTCTGTATCCAAAACATAGCACTGTAAAAGATACTGAAGCAGAAATTAACTATACCCTAACTGATACCAGGAATAAACAGGAATAAATAATGTGCTGCTTCTCTTTTTTTGCAAATCATTTGAATTTTGGAGGATACCATCATATTGAGAGAAAAGGCTGGTGTGGGACAGCCAAGGAGGGAGGGGAAGAAAAAACATGGTATTTGATTTAAAACTCAGTGGAAATTCAGAATTTAAAATTATTTCTAACTCGAGAAAATTATGGGTGTGTTACATCTCTTGTGTAAGCCTGTAAGCTTACATGTCTATTACAGATTTAATATGATAACCTATATTTTTAAACTTTTCAAGTAGCAAAGGAACCCATGAAAGCATACTTTTATGAGGGGAACTCCATGTACTGTGTTTGTTTGTTGGGCTTTGGCCTTTTTTTTACTCTTTTGCTTGTTTAGTCATACAAAAGTATCCAATTGTAACCATTGTACCCAAGTGAGGGCCTGAGTTTACTTCACTTAGGTGAGACATGTCTTTCTGCTAACAGGAAGTCAAAGTGATTTTCTTGTAGTAGTGGAGCCAAAGTGGAATTTCCTGTTTTGTGTGGGGCATTCAAAGCAGCAGACATTTTAAGATGTCAGTGAGCATTTCCTTGATGCTTGAAGATTTATCCCATTTTCGTTTGCTTCAAGCTGCAACGTTATAGCATTTTAAAAAAACTGCCTTAATTCTGAACTGAAACAAAATTTGAGGTGAAAAAAGGAAAATGAAACAGAAAAAATCTTGCAGCTAAGATTATGCTGAAATTCACATCTCTGCATAGGGTAGTAGGAGCTGAGCTTGCCAAAAGCTAAGCATTTCAACATTGAAAAAAATTGTAAGGTGTTGAAAAGAGTACTACATTCCTTGAAATTTGCTGTGGGAGAAGTTCCAAGACCTGTCTGCTCTGGAAAAATGAATATTTTCCTAATTTATTTCCTCCTGATAAAAATCCAAAGGGAGTGGTTTTTATAAGATGGCAGCAAGTTAAAGATGAAATATGCATGTAATTCATTGATAGCTCAACAGCCTTGATGTATGATCTGGAAATGGTTGACTTCAGATGACTCAGCCTGTACCACTCAGCCTGTAGAATCCATTTCTTTGGGAAAGCGTTGTAGCTACCAATGTCTGAGGCTTATGCACCCCATCTGGTCCACATGAGGTCCATTTTGAAGATGTAGGTGAATGGCTTTTCTATAGGGCAAATAGTTTGTGTCCTCATGCCATAGCTTAGGAACCACTCCCTGTGTCCTAGATGCCTTAGGACCTGCCCAAATTATTCTGACTCTTGAAGCTGCTTATGGCAGTTTTATCTTCTCCCAACCAAAAATAAATAGAGGCTATGAAAGTGCATCTCCCACTCCCACATGAATTAAAACCAGCACTAGTCTAGCAGAGATTAATGGAAGTCACCTTATTTATGAGTGTTTACCAAACTAGCTCACCTGGTGAAAAGCCATTTGTGCATACAAACAGCAGTGCTCTTGTGCCAAGCTTTCAGTGCTGGGGGCTGGCCCAAAGGAAATATGGATGTGTCTGTCCCACTGGGCTCCGTGTAGAGAGGAAAAGTCATGCACAGAAGATTTACCAGGACTTCTATCAGGCAGTGGCAGAGCCCGCAGCACCACAAAAGTACATGGGAACCAAGTTCATATTTTATCTGCTGAGTCTTTTTTTTTTCTTCTTCACTGATTTAAAACTCAGAGCACAATGTTGGCACTCAGCGCTGCCTTTTTACTGCTTGTTGCCTACACGTGTGAATTGATTTTCATGGAATGATACACACATCTTGCAGAATGAGAGCCTTATGTTTGCACTTGTCAATTAAAAACTGAAATGAGAGAATATTTTGCTCAGCCTTTTTTTTCCCTGCTTATTTTCACTGCAGATTATTCAGTTTACTTCTATAAAAAGAAATAAATTTTTGCTGGTTCTTTAAGCAAGCAATTTCCCTGTGGGACTAATATTATTATTAAGTTGTATAATCTGAAACCAGGAAGAGTCAATGAATGGTTTGACTAAGGAATGCCTTCTACTAGTTCGCAATGTGGTATTTGAAACTGCTTTTAAATTAGTTAACTCTAACTCTTAATTGGTTATTGTAGGCGCCCTTTAGGAAGATCAGTCTCTTCTGACAGGTATGGAACATTACTAGATTATTTTTAAGCTTACAGAGCAGCCTACTTCAATTAAAAGAAGATAGGTATTTTTGTCAAAAGGCTTTCAGTTTAGCTGGAGAGGCCAGCCAGGTAGCAGTATGGTGAAAGTGTGTTTCCTAGGAAATGAACTTGTCCTCAGGGCTCAGCTGAAAAAAGAATGTCCCTGTCTCTGTCCCCTCTCTTCCCCCAACCTCCTACATGCTCCCACTGCTTGCCTTGGGCTAATCAGCTCATCATTGGGCACCTCTGTCAGCTCAGCCCAGTCAGGCAGCAGGGAGCAGACACAGCAAGCTGGATATTCATCTGCAGTGATGATAACTGAAATTGCCTCATGGAGAGGGTCAGTGTCTGACAGAGTCCTCAGAAGGGATGCAGCTGGATTCTGTAGGCAGAAGCAGAAGGAAGAAGAGCTATGTAAGTGGGAAGGAAGAAAGGGACTCTCTCCTTTCAGAAGTAAAGCATTAGCTTGGCTCATGTTCCCACAAAGTTATACCTTCGCTTTTACCAAGCAATGATTTCTCTTTCTTCCCCCTGCTAGATAGGGAGTCATGAAGACAACCTGAGGAAACAGTTTTCATGTGATTTCAGCCTGTGCTCTGGCTTTCAGCGCCTAATGCACAGCCAAACATTTGGCTTCTGGGCCTGAAAACAAAACTCTGCAAAAAAGCATCCAATGATGCCTCTCTTTAGGATCTTTCCTGGCATGCTTGCTGTGGGAATACTGACAGGAAAGGCAGTGGGGCACCATATGTCCCCCCTTATGCCTGCTGTAACACCTCACCTCCCTGCCTTGGGCTGCCTCTTGTTTGGCTCTTGCTTTTGCTTTACA